TGCAGATCTCTATTCGCCTGTTTATTTCTGCAGTATGATCATTGGTTTCATTGATCAAAGTTCCTGTATTGGGACCGTGCAAGTTCGGAACAGCGACACCTGGTGTCGTAAATCAGCAAAATTTACTGCGCTTTCATGTTAATCGAGGTTACCGGATAACTGTCAAGGACGTAGCCCCAAAAAAGAATAAGAAGAAAAAGTAAGATTAAGGTTATGTCGGTATGTTATTAAAAGGTAAACGTTGTATGTAGTGTAAATACAAATAAATATATTATTAAATTACAGCATTACTGTTAATATGGATGCAATAATAAAAACTGGATTTGAGAAAGTAAACCACCAAATAACTTTTCAACCAAGCACTGAGTCAAAGGGAAAAGCTTTAGTAGTGGCAAATGTCAAAAAAGAATGGAAGAATTAAGAAAAATAAATTACCATAAATAATGCTAATGCATAAATGCATAAATTAGCAGGTTAAGCCCATGATATCATCATATTGGTTTGAACAATTAATTATTTCCCTGTAAACTTTTGGACAGCGAATATATCTTAATGCATCTTCAGAAATACTTGAACTTGATGCATTTTTGTAAACTTCAAAAAAATAAAGTTTAAACATTAAACTTGATTTTTGGGTTAAAATAAACTCTAAGTGAGTGTTATGAAACTAAAGTGTACTAAAAAGTGAACTTTTATTTATTATTTATTTCAAACTGACTTTAAAATCGGGCGCAAGAATAATACATAATTTAGGTTATGTTACTTATGCTTTTTTATGATATAAATCCACTTTTCTCTTTGTAGTAGCTTTGTGTTTTGAAGTTGGGAACGAATAAAACTTAAATTGACAATTTTTTGTTGTATTTTTATAATTTATAACACAGCATTTCCCAAATCCCATTTTCTTCAGTGACAGAAGGTGTAAGTAAACAAACGAATATGAAATATGACAATTGACAATATGAATTTATAAAATCTATGAAATGTGCAGTAAAAAATGTAAGATTTCTCCGCTACTCGCGCACGATCGTTTATCGTATCCCCTCCAAGTACTTGCACGTCGCCAATAGGAACTATCAAGTACCGATATTTTTCTACTTGTTCTATCACGTTACCATTGATTGTCAATAGGTGATATATATTTTGTGGTCTTTTTGTAATTAGCATGTACTTCATTTTTTTAGTGTTTATAATAATTCCCATCTCAGCACTATTCGTACTTAAGCTTTCGATAAGATGTAGATATATAGATCTTCTATATTCGTTACTATCACGCTCATGTGACATTGCCGAAACATCGTCAAAAAATGGTTAGTATATTGAAATGATCATATAGGTCGAATGACGATAGATAAAGTAATTACTATTTAAATGGGAATAAGCCACAATTAAAGTTAAAATACGTTTATTGACGTTTCGATTTTTACTTCGGAAATCGTTGTAGAAATTGCTACGATTTCCGAAGTGGAAATTGAAACGTCAATAAACATATTTAACCTTTAATTGTGGCTTATTCCCATTTAAATAGTAATTACTTTAAAATGCCACAAGAAAATAGCTTCAGAACGATAAATAGAGTAAGACGGTTCCCCAAAAAGGAGGAAAGTCCACGAAAGCGATGGAATGAGAATTTACTAAAGGCACATTGAAAAACAGACAGTTATCTCCACATGAAATTGTCAAACTATTTAATAAAGTATAAATATCCATTTTTTAATCTTCTCTTTAAACTATTTAATAGTGGTCCTAAAGTTAAATAAGGGCTTAAAAACAACTACCCAATTTTTCACAGACATTAAACATTTTTTATTAAGGCTATTTTAGCAGCCAAAGCACACTGCGATTTGAAATGGGCGTATCACTAACTTTTCTACACTGCTTACGCCAGACCATTTTTACTCAGTGTCGCCGGCCGACGGCTAGTTTAATGACAACAAATGCATTATTCTCTATTCAAATTAGTTTTAACACGACTAACTGCCGGTACGTTCATGAGATTTGACGTCACGAAGGCGATAACGACAGAACTAAGCGCCAATGATGAGTAACACGTTTCACTATTAGATTTTAGTATTTTTTAGCAATTTTCTTTAAAGTTGGAACACGCTTTTCTCGATTATTACTGGACACAGAAAGGTGAAAAAAATCAACGATTACAGAAAAAAAAAACTCTTCCAAGTGGTGGGTGTAAAAAGTATGGTTATAATAGAACGTTAAACAAAATAATCCAATTTTTAACCAGAAGTTTCAAAAAAATTTAAAAAAAAGTAAAACCATCATTGTAATGACAACATAATTTCGAATAACGTGTCCAAATTTCGAGACATTTTGTCGGTAAATAACAGAGAAAACACTATCCTTAGGTTTTGATGCACCGATAAAACAGCCTTAACTGTTGTTATTATGTACTTGATACCCGTACTAAAAACTGGTTTTTTTATTCTAAAGTTCAAGCAAATGTCGTGTGTATATGCAATAATGTTTCCGTGAAAAAATTGCCACAAAAAGTATACTTTGTAATACATTGTAAATATTTAAAATCGATGTTTTTTGTATTTGTTTGCAAATAGACACAAAAACGCCTTAAAAAATCTTCAGTCAAGAAGCATCAAATTATTACCTGTTAGTATAATTTTCGGACTATAACTTTTCGGAATGACTATTCCATCGTCAGTGCTATTTGGATTTACAGTTTGAAACCACTAAATATATGGATAAAAACCCTTTAAATGTAGTTAACTGTTAGTTGCTATCAATAAGTTGTCCCAGATACTTTGTCTAATGCAGGCCATTCACGTTCCGCCTTGTGGTACGACTAGTGGTCCAACTTCTGCAGTTGGATCTGAAATCGGACCGTGAGTGGGCTAGTTGGATTAGTTGGACAACTAGTGGTACGACTAGTGGGACGACTTGAAGATCCGACTTCCGACTGGCGACGAAGTCGGAGCGTGAATGGTGAAGTTGGAAGTCGGATCACAGGTTGGATCGAAAATTTCCTCAGTCAGTTGACTTTCGGCACCTGTTACGTATGAGATTTCTATCAAATACTTTACGCAAAGATCTCTAGTTCGCGAATATTTATTAGAAAATAAACTTTCAATTGCACGAAAATTACCTTTTTGTTAGGGCAAATCATTTTCCTTTCTGTAGATCTATTTCGGACATTCCTATACAGGTAAATTTCCGATACTCCGGATTGGCTACGGAAGAATTATCAACAAACAATGAAAATTAAATCATAGTTTTAGCAAAAGATCCCTAGTTCGCAATAAAATAATAGAAAATAACTTTCAATTGCACAAAAAATTATTCCTATTAAAAATATACGACACACACACAACAAAATAAATCCCAGCTCCAGTTTAAAACAAATAAAATATAGATTTTATACGTATACAAATCTTTAAAAACTATAATTTTTTCCTACATCTTAAAAAGTCATAAAAATCAAGAGTTGAAAAAATTAATTAGTTCAGCCCTAGACAAATAACTAGAGAAACGAAACCTAATTTTTAAACATACATATCATATTATTATATTTTGCGTAGTGTTTATTCGATACAATTTTTGGTCAAGCGATGTATACCATCGTGAAAACAACCTAGAACTGAAGTTGGACCGCTAGTTGGATAAAAAGTCGGAGCGTGAGTGGAGACGAACATCCAACTAGTAGTCCTACTAAGTGGGACCACAAGTCGGAACGTGAATGGCCTGTCTAAGGACTATAACAACCTCAGTAGGGTCCTACGTTACCTTATAGCTAATTCCGTTTATAACTTACGTCATAGTTTTTTAACATCAAAAATTTAATTTAAAATTAATTCAAATGTATTTATAGAGTGTTTAGCCATGTATTAAGTGGCGTTAAATATAAATCCAGATAACACTGGTGATGGAATAGTTATTTCGAAAAAGTTCTGTGATGAAAAAGGAGTTCTTTGAATTTTTTTTTAATTATTAGGATATTGCAGTGACTGCCCAAAAACACTAGTTTTGCTCATTTCCCTGAGGTATCATTGATATTGAATCATTCTAAGTTTTTCAGATGAAATCATTTTTTTAATCCAAAAACAAACATGAAATATTTTATTTTTTTAAAAATTTACGTTGAAAATTACAGAAAATTACAGAAGAATCCTTAGTATTAACAAAAAATGTACAGTTTTATTTTGTTTATCTTTGTAACTTTTGTTATTTTCTTTGTACAGTATTTTATTCTATTTTAAAAACATATTTTTGTATTGTTATTTTCAAGAAGTTACTCTGTTACTCTACATTACTTATATAACAACTGTATGTCATAGGTAGATTAGACTGTAACTTATTGAAATATTTATTATAGGTAAATACAAATAAAGTCTACTAGTAATATGTTGTGTTTTATTCTTTTTTTTTATATTGTAATTATAGGAATATGAAAGGTTATGATAATTATCGAGAACTCAATGTTATAGCTACTATACGCAGACTTTATGACAGGGTTTTTTTAAGAGAAAAAAAAAAGGATATTCAAAAATGAAACAAGCTAAGATATCAAATCTCTGCACTTCTACAGCATGTTAATTTTGCTACGAAATTAATAAAAAACGGATTTATCTTTTAAATTACCCTATATAACACTACTTAATCGTATATTGAAAAAACGAGAACATCGAGAAAAGTCAAAAAATTGAAAGCTATACGGGGTATTCCATTAAAAAAAAAAAGAAAAATTTTTTTTTCCTTGTTAATATGGATGGCCCAGTATGTTTAAGTATGGTCCTATCTATGCTCCAACTTTTACCTTTTAAATGAGTAATTGGAGTTATTTGCACTAATACCACACCCTGTAGAAGGTATATGTGCCAGTTAACAAACTCTAAATATGTCCGAAGAATTGTAACTTTCGAGATTTGATAGTGGTCAGTACCTCTCGGTTCTTATTTATTTTTCTGAGGACTTCCTTATTTGTGACTCAGTCAGTCCACGGGATCTTAAGTATTCTCCGATATAGCCATATCTCAAATGCTTCCAGTTTTCTGCACATATCTTCGTTCAAGGTCCATAATTCAACGCTATAAAAAAGGACAGAGAAGACGTAGCATCGCAGCATTCTTACTTTTGTATCAAGTGAGAGGCCGTAACTCTTGAAAAATGCCCCCATTCGATTAAAGGTGGATCTAGCTTTTCCGATGCGTGCTCTAATCTCCTGGTTGTTGGTCCATTTTTCAATTATTATGGTGCCGAGATAGTTGTAGTGCGTCACTCTTTCTACAGGGGATTGGTTGACGTAGAATTGACCTTCTATTATCATTTTCTTGCTAATTATCATAAGCTTTCTCTTCTAAACGTTTATATTGAGTCCATATTGTTGACTATAATACGTGATTTTGTTCACAAGAACTTGTAGGTCCTCTAAGTTGTCCGCAAATACTATGGTGTCATCTGCAAACCTGATGTTGTTTAGCCGGTAACCATTTAGTAGAATACCTTTTTCAGTTTCGTGCAAAGCTTCGATAAATATTGTTTCAAAGTACAGATTGAGGATTAGAGGAGACAAAATATAGCCTTGTCTCACTTTACGCATGATTTTCACATAGTCAGTGTGTTCACCTTTAATTCTGAGATTTGCTGTCTGATTATAGTAGATATTTATAATTATTTTTAGGTCTTGGTTGTTAACTCCTGCTTCTTTTAGTATTTGCATAATCTTGGCATGCTGTACTCGATTAAACGCTTTCTCATAATCAACTAGACATGCGTATACATCGCGTTGACGTAGCTGCATCTCTGGAATAAGACTTGTACTGAGAACAAAGCCTCTCCAGTACCAACAGCATTTGTGAACACGAACTGGTTGGGGAAAATTTTACTTTCACACAGGTTGTAGATTCTCTTATGAATTATATTAAGAAACAATTTTAGGAGATGACTTATGAGGCTTATAGTAAGGTAATCTTCACATTTTTTGGCTTCTGGTTTTTTTGAAAGTGCGATTTACTCAGAATTCAACTATTCTGTTGGTATTTCTCCAAAATTGTATATGTTATTAAATATATTTGCGATTATTGCTATTGATTCCTTGACCATTACTTTGAGTAGTTCTGCTTGTATAAAATCAGGGCCTGCCGCTTTGCCATTCTTTAAATGTGTTATTGCGGAATAAATTTCCTGCTGTAATATTCTTAATCAATCATTCACTTCTTCTCCTAGCTCAAAGGTGTTATCTCTTCATCGTCTTCAAATAGTTTTTCTAGATATTCTTTCCACGTTCTTATTTTACTCTGTTTCTCCAAGGTGATGTTTTTGTCAGAATCAGTTCCATTTCCTTTCTACCTTCATCTTAGTTCCCCTGTGAGTTCTTTAACCTTCGTATGTACATTGTGACTATGGTACTTTGACTGCAGTCTCAATTTCTTCGCATCTTTTTCTTTTTCTTCTTTGATTTTCGTTCTTATTAATATATTTATGATTTTATATTTGTCTGGGATATTTTTGGCTTCTCTTCTCTCGTCCATTAGTTTCAAGATCTCATCTGTGATCCATGACTTCTTCATGATTTCTTCATTAATCTATCTGTCTTTAAAGTGTTTATCCTTTACATTTTGCACTATTTCTGTAATATGTTTGATCGTTTGTTCTTCGTTCGATTTGTCTCTAATTGCATTCACTTGCTCGTTTAACGTGGCTGAGACTCTTATCCTCGTATCAAGGTATTTCAGTATACATAGGTCGTATGAAAAATCTATAAACTGCCTTAATTGTGACTTTTGTGGAATTCCATATTTTACACTAGGGAACTTTCCACACTTCAAAAATAGGTCACTACAAGACAAATAAATACAATACGCATGTCATCGCCATTGTCTTCTCTTTAAATATTCTTTGGTCTTCTTTCTACGCCTTTCAAAAACTAGCAGATCAGCCCTAGTTCTTACTTCCTCGTACATATCTCACAATCTTCACCTTAACAGTAACAACTCAAGGATAAATTCATTTTCTCATTCTTAAATCTTTCTATGAAATTCCCCTGCTAGTTTCCCCTGCTAGTTTCCCCTGCTAGTAAAGGTGCTCATGAGGTATACACATATTTCAATTGTGCTACTATGTCGCCAGAATACAAACATAATTTCGCAAAAAATATGCGTCTTTGTTTCGCAAAAAGTGTTTGTTTTTAAATGGTTTTTCGCGAATAACCCCAAAAATTTAGATTCACTTGGGAAAACTGTTTGGATATAAAATAAATCTTATAACACAAAGTTTTTATTATTACCATAAACTTTATTTTTGTTTTTTAATGTTACCGTTAATATTAACAAAGTTGTCTTTTCGATGGAACAATTAATGGAAAAAATGAAGGAATGATGAATGAAATAAAGCAAATAAGCGAAGAACAAATGGAAAGTAATAAACAACTAAAAGAGATAAAGGAGGAAAACAAAATTAAAAAACGACTTTAAACAATTACCAGAGAGAATGTAACACCTGGAGAAAACAAGCAAAAAGAAAAATGTTGAATATATCGGGTTTAATAATAGGAAAAGTAATTTAAAGTATCATCAAGATCCCATCTACATAAATAATGATCTGATATCAAAACAAAAAGAAATACAGAAATAGTTAAAATAACCAAAGAAGAAAAAAGTAAAGGAAAACAGACAAAAGTTGTAACGATAATGTTTTGCCTACCTTAAGGTAAGATCATGGGTGTAGAAAATTGGGGAGAATGGTTATGGGGGTGGAGATAGGGCAAGCAGAATAAATCGAAACGTATGCGAACCGCACTCAAGGTTTGTTAGGAGAGCTGGGGTCGTGGATAAATAAATGGCAAAGGGGTTGGATTGGGGCAACTACAGAAAAATGAAACAAAAGGTCATGAATCTCTTGGGACAAACAAAACAAAAGGAAACACGGAACACCTCTAGTAATTTAAAAAGCACGCCACTTCGAGGTGCCTAATTATACCTATTACAACAACTAGTTGTAACTAAGAAAATAATTATCAGGAAAGCAAGACATATCTTTTTCAAATAAAACTAAAAAAAAGGTTAGTTAAAAAATTAACAAAATGTTAAGAAAACAATTTAACATTTATTGTTGTCACCACAAATAGTTACAAGAATAAGACAATGCAAACATGTGTCATCTGTTTACAAATTCTGTTGCTACAAAACTTACAAAATTGCATATAGGTTAACCTTTTAAAAAAAAACAAACCAAATTAATATCAAAAATACTGAAACGAGCTGTCATAAATTAACATTAAATTTAAAACAACAATTAAAATGACAGCTAAGGTTAAAACCTAAAATTTACAATTTTTTAAAAAAACAAAAATTTAAATTGTTACGAAAGCAATTATTGTTATAAAAAAATGTCTGTCTTTACTTTAAAATTTGATCACAAAAAAAGTTACCTGAGTTTCACAAAAATTACACTTGAGCTGTAAACTGGACTTCTTAAAAACTCAACAATGGCTGGGAATCTCTGACACATGAACAAAAATGAAATTGGGTCACTGGAACACAACCGTTGGAAACTAAACTGGACTTGGCTTCTTAAAAACAGGAATAGATACAACTGGATACAATGGCAACATTTCAAAACTCACTTAAAACTGTAACTGAACTATTAAACTGCTACTATATTTTACACATTCTTTATAAAAAAAAAACGAACAACGAGGAACATTTCAAATTTAACGGAAAATTTGGACATAACGTTAAAGACCACCGTTTTCACCGCGGCTCCAACGAAAGTAAAGAAAATATCTTTAAAATTCGTTCACATAACTTGAAATAAACAAAACACAACGAAAATTAAGACGTAAATTATTAATTTGGAAACGCAGCACATCGGGCGGCTTAAACCAAAGAATGATCGACAGAAATTGAAATATATTTCGGGTATTGAAAGATACGAACTAAGCAACATGGAAAAAAGTTCTCCGTTTTTTCAAACATATATGAGGGGATTTCAATATACTACATATACGAAGGGATTCCAGTATATACCAAAGAATCAATGAAATTGCAAATGCTACAATGTAGGCTATAAGAAGTTATTCGTGAATGGGAGAGAATGGATATGAGATGAAGAAAAACAACAACTAAAAGAAAATACCAGAGAAAAAGCTGCCAAAGAACTAGTAAAAGAAAAACAACTAGGGAGGTATGATACAGAAACGGCAAGGCACAGGACACAAAGATTGAGACTTGGAATGTGAGAGGTACTTATAAGCAGGGAGCTTTAAGAAACAGTCCAAATTATGGAAAAATACACAATAGCTATCCTTGCCCTGCAATAAAACGAAATAACTAGGAAAAAATATAATAAAAATGGGAAGAAACACACTATTTAAGAGTGGGGGGAGAAATATTTTGGAGTGGGATTCATGGTGTCGGAGAAAGTAAATAATGCAATTGTAGATTTTCAACCAATATCAGACCGAATATGTTACTTGAACATAAGAGGAAAGTATAGGGAAATAAGTATCATTAACCCCCACTGGAGATAAAGATTGAGAAACTAAAACAGAGATATATGAAAAGCTAAGCACTCTAATAGAAAATATACGTAAATACGATATAAAGATAATCATTGGTGACATGAATGTGAAAGTCGGAAAAGAGGAAATATATAAAAAAATAACAGAAAGATGAAGTTTACATAAGGAATCAAATAAAAACGGAAAAAAGTTAATAGAATTTGCTACAGAGAACAAAATAAACTTCTCCCGATTGCAAAATAAAAATCTGATAGATGAAAGATCTGACCTAATTGAAAGCAAAAATGATAAGGTAATAATCGATTGTAGGAGTTACAGAGGACCAGATACCAACAGTGACCATATACTAATAATAGCAAAACTAAAAAAGGACTACCAACAATTCCAAAACCTGTTAGAGATAGATTGAATTACCAATTAGAGCGCCTTTAAGAGTAGCAGGTTGTAAACAGACTAGAGGAAGAAATAAATAAAAAGCTAGATATACAACATATATGATAGAGATATATAACAGATGTGATAGAGACATTAACCCCACACAGTTGGGTTTCTGTAACATGTAATAAAACAAGTATAGATGACTGTAGGTGTATTACTTTATTTCGTTATATTATCAGAACGTTACATATTATTATTCCTAGGTTATATCCTTGCACCTAGCCTCATAGCATGGAGTGACGTCCTCAAGGAAGGCGGATGTCCCCGTTGACACTGACAGACACACACTGTTCCCAACCTTCTTATTAAAGGTCACTTCACATGCTTACATGTGACATCTTCCCCTTTACCCCTTTTAACAATCATAATCCCTAATTATACAAACTTCCTTTTCATTCTGTATTTCTTTGACTTGGATTCTGCTTACTTCAGCTGTTCTACACATATTTTC